GCCGCGCTTCCCGCTCTGGGACCGGGGCTGGCACGACCCCTGGCACTCGCCGGGGCCGCGATACGAGGAGATGCCGCTCTACAAGGAGCGCGGCTGCTACATCTGCCACCAGGGCGTCCGCATGCTGGAAGGTACCGGCCCGGCCGACCTTCCTCCGGGGCCTCCTCGGCCCGGGCCACCCCGCGCTGTGCCCCCAGCGCTGCCCCGGGCCGCGCAGCCCGTTCAAGCACTTACCCTTCACCGCCAGCCAAGGTTTTTCCTCACATAGTGCAGAAAACCCACAGAGAGCGGAGAGCCTGCCCTGCCTCATGAACTAACTGCGCTAGCAGCCTCAGTAATACGTATTTCTTTTAAATTTTTTTACAAGGAGTTCGGCAAGCGCAGTGGCTCACCAAGACCAAGCTGGTGGAAGGCTTACCCCCGTCGGTGCTCAGCATCATTGACAACCCGGCTCACCAGCTTGAGGGCCACGAGGAGAGGGTAAAGCGTGCGATCTCGCACGCACGGTTCTGGGACACGATGGAAGTTGCTCCCAGGAGAGAACATTATTGGTAAGTCCTCGGTCATAGGGAAAATCTAGCTGCTGCGTGGTTATGGCTTTAGCGTAAGCCAGTCATCAAGCAGGTAATGTAAGAACCAGAGTTTTTAACACTACAAAGAAAATTCATGTATAGATCTAGCATTGAGAGATTCATTTACTGTGCAAAGCTGTTAGACCCTTTTTATCATCTTGTCAACTTGTAAAACAAAACAACCACCAAAACCCCCAGTTCTGAACCTTGACAGTAGTACCAGTGTAAACACATACTCTATGTTAAAGCTGCTTTCAGGCCAAGGTCTGTGTTTCAACTTGAGATCTGCTAGCTGATGCACAATGTCAAATTTTTAAGTAAGTAATGGTAAGCGTTAACTCTGCCAACTTGGAACGGGACTGGTGTGGGGGATATTAATCTGAAATCTGTATTACCTGTTTGGAAATGTTACACCATTATTTGTTTTACATACAGTAATGTTAACAGCGTTCATGTCCCAGAAGCATCTGCCCGCCATTATGATCACACTTTTTTATGTAACTGTTTTTTTTTTTCCTTATCCTAAAGCCCAGTACTGTTTGAAGATTTGATACATTTATGTCGGTTAATGTCTGCGAAGTATCCTTCTCTGACTAAAAGAATGTTGGCTAGAAACTACAAGATATCAGCTACGTGGGAAAGAGGTTAGTTGGTGCTGTGGTGGAAGCATTTAGCTCTTTACAGTGATGTAAAAGGGGTAGCAAAGCTGCTAGCTTTAAGGCTGAGGACTTGGAGAAAACTAAGCAATTTCTGGAACCAAGTCAGTCTTTCGGATTTAAGTAGCGCTGTAAGGATGGGCAGACTTGGAAGATGGCAGGGTGTTTGCCCTGAGGAGATTATTAGGGTGTTAGACAACATCAACAAGATGGCAGGAGAAGAGAACCAGTGCATTAGAACTGATTGTTTATTTTTTTGTGTCCAAAATCTGTACTGTTGGTTTTCTACATACATATTTAGTGAAGAAACTAACGCCAGCAATTAACATTGGTATTTTAGAAGAACCTATAGCTGAGCTATGATGTAAGTTTAGTTTGGAGGTGAGGGGATGAGAGTGAGCCTTGCAGAACACAGACTTGCTAGAATGCTTCTGCCCCAAGGGAAACATACATTTTTCCCTGATGTTGTTTTGGCAATGTTTGAATGTAGCTTAATTTCCCTCCCCAGAATCCATTCTCCTTCAGGTCCGTGGGCTGAACGGAATACTTATGAACTCTATGGCCCCAATACCACCAGTAGCTTCCAAGGAGGAGATACTGGCCACTGAAGAACATGTTCTGGAGACCTTCTATCCCATCTCTCCTACAATTGATCTTCAGGAAGTGAATGTGTACAAAGAGCTCAATGATACAGGTAAATCTTGCTGTTGATACTAATTTTCTGTCAGACCAAGTGTTCGGGTTAACCTGGAGTCCTTGGCCTTCTGCGAGACACCTGCGAGTGGGGGGTGGATGGGAATGAGGGAGCACAGTAGCTGGGCACGGGGTGTGCAGTGCAAGTGCTCTGGACCTGTGGTGAGTATATTGTGGGCTAAGCAGGACTGCAGAGAAGAACTTAAATCCCAGCAAGTTAACAGTTAGGGGAGAGAACACTGGGGAGAAAGGGGAGATAGGGGAAAAAACATTGGCTGTGCATTCTCTTACTGAGCGATTCCTGACGTGACTATCTGCCATTTAGGTTTTAGAGATGGTTATCCGTACTCTCATCCTCACACTCTGTTCTTCCTGGAATCGGCCAACGTTCGTACTGACAGGTTCAGACCAGAACAACTTCGTGCTAAAATGCTGATGTTTGCTTTCGGCAACGCACTGGCAAAGGCTAAGGTTCTGTACGGGGTATGTA